AAAAAAAATCCTTACAACTTGCATCTCTCTCTCTCTCTCTTTCTTTTTTTTTCCTAAAAGGAAGAGAAAAAAGGTTTTCTTGCATTAATTTTTTTTTAAATCTCTGCAGCGTGAATGCATCTCTGTGCACGTGGGCCAGGCTGGTGTCCAGATTGGAAATGCCTTCTGGGAGCTGTACTGCCTGGAGCATGGCATTCAGCCTGATGGGCGTATGGCTGCTACTGGAGGCATTGGTTGTTATGAGACCTTCTTCAATGAAATCAGGGAAGGGAAGTTCCAGCCAAGAGGCATTTATGTTGACCTGGAACCGACCGTCATTGGTAACCTCATCTGATTGTTCTTATTTCTGTTAAATGCTGCCTGTGTGTTAATTCTAGTTGTGTTTTCCTGTAGATGAGGTGCGCACTGGAACCTACCGCCAGCTGTTCAACCCGGAGCAGCTGATCGCCGGGAAGGAAGATGCTGCTAACAACTACGCCCGAGGTCACTACACCATCGGAAAGGAGATCATCGACCCTGTTCTGGACCGAATCCGCAAACAGGTATGTAAAATTGATCTAATTTCTTGCCCGTGCACTGCAGCAACTAGGGAGGTGTTCTCTGCAGACTCAAAGTAGGCGTGTCTGAAGCATAAACATTGATTGCCTTTTGTTGCATTTGCTCTGTTTTTCAAAAAGTTCGGTTCTTCTGTTTTTTGTTTTGTTTTGTTTTTTTCACTTTTTTTTTTACTTTAACTACTTTCACATTAATTTTAGCAACCAAAACTGCTTTTTTTATGAAACAACAATACATCATTAAAACCAAACATTTAGTTGTCCCTATGTCTCAAAAAATAAAACACACTACAGACTGATGTCGCTCTTATTTTCTGATGATCAGTGCTTCGGCGTTTCTTTATGTTATTAGCTTACTTTCTACCCTAGCATCAGATTTTCATGTTTATTTTCAATACATTTAGTATTGAAACCTGCTGTTAGCATGGTAATTAGAAGACTTGTAAATAATAACAGCCGGCAGGTTTATTATGTTTATATGAAGACGCAGACGTGTCGACCAGAAGTCTTCATTCATTATTTCCACTTCTCTTATAGAGCACCWGGTTGTATTTCAAAATAAGAGCGACATCAGTCTGTAGTTTTTATTTTATTTTTTGAGACATGTGGAAATAGGGAACTATTTGTTTGGTTTTAATGATACATTGTGGTTTCGTTAAACAGCAAATACGATGGTCTGTTTATGCTTCAGACTTGAGTCTGCAGAGAACTCCTTCTCCACTGCAGAGATCCTGTGAGTTGAGAATGCTGACTCAGCGTAACATAGTCTGGGTCCAGGTTTCCTTCAACACCTGTCCTTTGTGTCCTCAGACGGACGAGTGCGCAAACCTTCAAGGGTTCTTGGTCTTCCACAGTTTGGGCGGAGGGACCGGATCTGGTTTCACCTCCCTGCTGATGGAGCGTCTGTCGGTGGAATACGGCAAGAAGCCCAAGCTGGAGTTCGCGGTCTACCCGGCCCCTCAGGTGTCCACGGCTGTGGTAGAGCCCTACAACTCCATCCTGAATGTGCACAGCACCATGCAGCACTCAGAGTGCTCCTTCATGGTGGACGAGGCCATCTACGACATCTGCCGCAGGAACCTGGACATCGAGCGTCCCACCTACACCAACCTGAAC